TTTGTATAAATATGGTTCATCCCAAAAATAATACTTTGCTTCTGCCAAAAATTTCTTTTTCTGCTGGAAAGTAAAATCTGGATGAAGTACCCCTCTAGCCAAATAATTAACTAAATCAGCAAACCATGGTGAAATGATATGGGTAGCAAACAGCTGTTCATCTGGAAAATTTTCATTTAAAGGCAGCAAGTCATCTTCAGCAGAAATTGGCACAATCAACCTAGACAAATGATCAGCCACAACATTTTCACTACCCTTCTTATCCCTGATTTCTAAGTCAAACTCTTGCAGTAAAAGAATCCAACGAATTAATCGAGGCTTAGCGTCTTTCTTCGACAACAAATACTTCAAAGCTGCATGATCTGTGTAAACAATCACCTTAGCCCCAACTAAGTAAGACCGAAATTTTTCTAATGCAAAAACAACTGCCAACTAATCTTGGAGAAATCAAGTGGTCGCATAGTTCAGCTGTGCATCATTGAGAGTTCAACTAGCATAATGAATGACTTGTGGAAGCTTATATTTCCGCTGTCCAAGAACCGCTCCTACTGTGTAATCTGAAGCATCACACATCAATTCGAAAGGTAAACTCCAATTAGGTGCTGCAATAATGGGTGCTGTAGTGAGGAGTGTCTTTAACTTGTTGAAAGCCTCCAAACAAGCATCATCAAAGACAAAAGGAGCATCCTTAGCCAATAAATTACACAATGGTCGGCTAATCTTAGAGAAATCCTTGATAAACCGTCTGTAAAGCCCAGCATGACCAAGAAAAGATCGAACAGTTTTAACAGCTGTCGGTGGTGGTAGCTTTGCAATTACATCAATTTTGGCCTTATCAACCTCAATACCCCTGTTAGAAATCAAGTGGCCTAGGACAATCCCCTGCTTAACCATGAAATGACACTTTTCCCAATTTAAAACAAGGTTTGTCTTAATGCATCTGTCAAGAACTAAGGATAAATTGTTCAAACATTCATCAAAAGAATCCCCAAAAACAGAAAAGTCATCCATAAACACTTCAACTACCTGTTCAACCAATCCGGAAAATATGCTCATCATGCATCGTTGAAACGTTGCAGGAGCATTGCACAAACCAAAGGGCATTCTTCGATATGCAAAAGTCCCAAAAGGACATGTAAAGGTTGTCTTCTCTTGATCCTCAGGTGCAACTGGAATCTGGTTGTACCCTGAATATCCATCCAAGAAACAATAGAACGCACGACCAGCCAACCTTTCCAACATTTGATCAGTGAAAGGCAATGGAAAATGATCCTTTCTAGTGCCCGCATTGATCTTTCTGTAATCAACACACATACGCCACCCAGTAGTCAAATGTGTAGGCACAAGTTCATTATTGTCATTCTTCACAACTGTAATTCCAGAACGCTTGGGCACCACTTGAGTTGCACTAACCCACTTACTATCTGAAATGGGGTAGATCATCCCAGCATCTAGAAGCTTCATAACCTCAGTACGAACAACTTCTTTCATAATTGGATTCAAACGACGTTGAGCATCAACGGTGGGCTTTACTCCATCTTCCATCAGAATTCGGTGCATGCAAATTGTAGGGCTGATCCCTTTAATGCCCGCTATAGTCCAACCGATTGCATCTTGATAATTTCTTAAAGTATGCCGCAATTTTTCTTCTTCTGTTGATGATAAGTCAGTAGCTATAATAACTGGCAGCGAAGAATGTGCACCCAGATAAGCGTATTTCAAGTGTCCTGGTAGTACTTTTAAATCCAATTTAGGTGGCTGTACTTTAGAGGGCTGCAATGGTTTTTTCGGTTCCCCTAAACTCTCAAAAACGTGCCTCCAACAGGGGTGTAGAAAAGGAACACTTTCCAAAGCTGAAACATACTCAAAAACCTCTTCATCTTCAGTGTTTTTATTCTCCAACCCATGCAACACCTTTAACAATGGATCTGATGTCAAACGGGGCATAATTTCAGCATGCATTAAGCTGTCTAACATGTCAACACGCATACAATCTTGCACATCAGTTGGCCTTTTGGTTATTTTGAATAAACTGAAAACAACGGACTGATCTTGCACTCTAAGTGTAAGTGTTCCAGCCTCAACATCAATTAAGGTTCAAGCAGTAGCCATGAATGGACGCCCCAAAGTAATCGGTGTTTGCATATCTTCATCCATATCCAAGACCACAAAATCTGCAGGAAGGTAGATATTATCCACTTTAATAATGAGGTCTTCAATAATTCCCCTAGGGTAAGCAACTGAACGGTCCGCCAGTTGTAGAATAACTGATGTAGGCTTGATTTCTCCTTGTCCTAGTCTCTGAAAAACAGAAAAAGGCATTAAATTAATACTGGCACCCAAATCAATTAAAGCACGTTTAAAATTAGAATTTCCAATTGTGCATGAAATTGTAAAACTGCCTGGGTCTTGTTTCTTTGGTGGCAGTTTGTGTAATAAAATTGCGCTGCACTGTTCTGTAAGAATAACTTTTTCAAAATCCACGAGCTTCTTTTTCTTTGTGCAAACATCCTTTAAAAACTTGGCATAAGATAGAATGTTCTTAATTGCATCAATCAATGGGAGATTGATATGAACTTTGGCCAACGTCTTCATAAAATGTGTCAATTGTTGATCTTTAATTGTGGGCTTCAACCTTTCGGGATAAGGCATTGGAGGCACATAAACACATTCTGCAGTTTCTGCAGCAATTTTTGCACTGTTTTCATATCTGCCCATAGACTCTATAGAATCTGTAACAATATCAGATTCTGCAAAATTTCCTGAATCTGTTTGTGGCTGTGATGCTGCCTGCGAATTTCCAACACAAATTTCACCTCTATTGTCATAACTTTTACCCGAACGTAGAACTTGAACTGCCTTACAATCTGCGCCTCCCCTTGGATTATGTTCCGTTTGGCTAGGAAATGTACCTGGTGCTCTTTCTGAAAATTGGAATGCAATCTGCCCCATTTGTTTTTCTATATTTTTCACTGTTGCCTGCAGATTTTGGAATTCTTGATTGGTGGCATTTGCTAATTTTTCAATTGCAACCTCCCAAGCAGCCTTAGGCGCA